ACGTATACTCCCATCTGACAGGTCCAGTTGGAATTTCTGCGGTTTCAGAATATCCATGCCTATGACAAAATCAGATGATAGGCCAGGAAGATGTCCAACTATGGCGGGAATAGTTGTGTTCCCAATCACTAAGTCCAAGTGATATTTGCTGGGAACTTGAGCTGGGAGGCCATTTGCCATTCTGGCCATGGAAGCATCCGGTGCTCCTTTTCGAACTCCCATATCTTGACATTTTCTAGCCACGTTATCTCCCATATACGTCCTGGATGCTCCAGTATCTAACAGGGCCTCAAAACGGTCACCAAGGGTATGCACAGAAACGAATGGACGGGCATCTTCAGGTCGGACGGTTCGGATCGTTTCCGAGACATTGGTGGAATGGCACTGCTCAGGTCTCGGTGCAGGGCAATGCCTTCCTAGTTTTCCGACCTAGGACAGGGACAGTCACGGGACATCACTCCTTCCTTCCCACATCTGGAGCAAAATAACTTAGGAGTGGATCGGCACTGACTCCTCAAATGTCCTGTCTGTCCACATCTCCAACACACAGCTGGTGCTGATGAGCTTGTTCCTGTCCTGGAGTTGGAAACAGACTGGAAAACTCTCCTTGATTCATTCCTCTCCGATCTGGGTGAGGTCATCTTCGGCCTTGGAATCTCTGGAGCTGTCAGAGAGGTTGTCGCTGGGGATGTCGGTGGGGCTCTCGACACGACAGGGTACCTGGCAGTCACTGCATAGGTTTGGTACCTCTCCTGTATCTCTCCTCTGAGAAGTTCAAACTCCTTCACAGCACGAGAAAAAGTAACAATATCGGCAAAGTCACTTCTTTTGATATGCTGTCGATATTCTGGTAGCAAGTTCCGGTATAGCCACGTCAGCTCTTGTTCCGGTGTCATACTCCCATGCCTTCGCACAAGCGTCTGGATATCGGTTATGTAAGCTTGTACAGGCTCGTTTGGTCCTTGGAGACGTCTACCAATAGCAACCTCTAGGTCTACTTGGTAGTTGACAGGAAAGTAGAAGATTTTAAACAATTCCACAAATGCATTCCACGTTGTACAGGCTGAACGGTTGTTTCGGTACCAAAGGGCGGTTTCCCCTTGGAACAGATCGGGTAATACGGCTATCAATCGATGAGCTGGTATATTCTGGGATACTCTGATCTCATCGAGCCTCTCCAGAAATGCTACTGGGTCTCCTAGCCCATCAAATGACAAATTCCAGTCTCGAGTGCGTATCGGTTCTGGACTCGCCGTTGCCATTGATGTAGATGGAGCTGTCATCATGGTCGGTACGGCCATAGTCGGTACGGTTGTTGCCTGTGCGGTTCCGGTTGAAGTCACATTCACAGGGGGTACGGTGTTCAGATTCGGGAATGTCCAAGTCGAAGTCAGTGGGACACTCCCTGGAGTCGGTGTGGGTGGGGCGGTACCCACTCGACCTTCCCTCAGGAACCTAACCAGTCGTCTCCTTTTGTCCTCAACTGTTCCAGTGACTTCAAGGCCAAACTTAGACAGTTCCACGTCTATATCAGCTTTCTTCAGCTGATAAACCCAGCTCACTCTGACATCTACAGGCTCTTTACTCTTCGACGGTGAAGTCTGTCCTTCTGCGGACTCGGGAGGCTTTGTAGTGTCTTCGTTCCTCATTTTCGGTGTATACGATTGATCAGCACGTCTGACTTCTTCAGAATCTCGAGATAGAATCCTCGATCGATTTTCTTGATGTCCAAGTTCAAATAATTTCCGTCGGTCTTCGGTTGAACTCGGATATCCCGTGAACAGACGACAGTAACAACTTGGGAATGTCCTAAACGGTTTTCTAGTCCCTGAAACCCTAGAAAACGATGTGCCACACGACTATGACTCCAATTGTCTGGACAGCTGTCAATTTTATCTCGAAACACTATGGCCAAACAATCCCTACCGTGACTAAATAGTTTTAGGGTTAAAATGCTCAAGCTTCACGTATGTCTCGAGGCAGAGTGATCATAGCAACTTGAAAATACAATCCTTGATATCCAGCCCTAACTGAAAGAATATTTACTTGTCTATATACAAAAATAGCTTACTCGGGTTATCTCGGTTAAACTCGGTTTGACTCGGTTCAACTCGGTTTTACTCGGTTTAACTCGGTCCGACTTGGTATAACTCGGTTTAACTCGGTCCCTGCTCGGGCGCCAAATTTGTAAGGTTATCTACTCTGAGATAAGTTGTTTAGCGCCCCAACTCGGGTTAATAACTAATGTACTCGGGCGCCACCTATTTTATAGTGGTAGGTCCACTTGCACCGGGCAACTTTCAGTGGAGATAGTATTTTCCAGGGGTCTGAGACTTCAACTGTCAAAGTGACATTCCTTATATTCAACTTATTCCCTGGATTATTAGTTGCACCAATAGTGAATGGAATAAAACTCAATGATATATTACAACTATATATTCTAAATGCATCTACAAGATTACTTACAATTACTTATTTACAAATCTAATTTACATTATATACAATAATCAGATGCTATGATCAATACCCCCTCTCTCTCTCGAGACATACGGTATTCAATTCAATTTCGAATGCAAGCTCGCGGGTTATTCAAAGCAACTAAACTTAATGAAAATTGCAGTCTATAGTATTAAAAGCAAAACTAGCAGCAAGCTTTAATAATTACACTACATCAATGCTGTACATACATGCAACATCTAGCATACAGGAGATACTCACTGAGTATGCATGCACGCAAGTTATCTATCGTGCACCTCAAATGATCAGGTGATACGTCACACATAGATCAATCACGGCTGAAAGAGAACTTATATTAAATACAACAAAATCGTGCATACAGGAGATACTCACTGAGTATGCATGCACGCAAGTTATCTATCGTGCATCTCAATGATCAGGTGATACGTCACACTTAGATCAATCACGGCTGAAAGAGAACTTATATTAAATACAGCAAAATCGTGCATACAGGAGATACTCACTGAGTATGCATGCACGCAAGTTATCTATCGTGCATCTGAATGATCAGGTGATACGTCACACTTAGATCAACCACGGCTGGAAGAGAACTTATATTAAATGCAACAAAATCTTGCATACAGGAGATACTCACTGAGTATGCATGCACGCAAGTTATCTATCGTGCATCTCAACGATCAGGTGATACGTCACACTTAGATCAATCACGGCTGAAAGAGAACTTATATTAGATACACAATACTATCCTGCATCCCGGAGACTCCCATTTGGTATTACTCTCCGCTGTCCTCACCTAACGCTCTTTCTCTATTCTCCTGTCCTCTGTCGGTCGGTCCGGTCTGGTATGCTGGCGTGGCTGTCTGGTCGGTTGCTCTCGCTGGACTCCTTTCCTAGTCCCCAGTCCTCTGGCTTCTAGGCGGCTCTCCCCTCTCCGTCGGTAGTCCTCGGCTGGCTTCGGTGTCGGCTCGTCCTTGGTCCCGCTGGTCTGCTGGCTGCGCGTGTATAGCCGGCTAAGCGCACAAGCTATACTGATTCTCCGTCGGTCTCTCTGAGCAACGGCGACTCGCTAGGCGAGCTTCCACCACTTCTCTCAGATGGTGGGGCGCACCCGAGATACGTATACTTGGATGGATATCGCTCTGATATCCACTCCGCGTTTTATTAATTATCAAATCAAAATATTTACAACTGATCAAAACTAAATCGTGGATGATGAAGACTATGAATAATACTTCCGGGGTATTATTTATATCATTCACGAAAAAGAACGGAATTCCTAGCTCACTATTTACAAAAGTTGTTAATTACTATACCGTATGTCTCATATAACACTCAAAATAAAAGTAACTTCGTTACATCTTTGTATGTTTCATATTTCCTTGTTATGTTGTTGTTGTTGCTGTTAGTATGTTGTGATCAGATGGAAATATATTTTCAGAAGTTCGTTTTTCGGCACATTCACTCCATAACATTGCAAAAAGTGCGTACAAGTTCTGGACTATTCGTTTAATCCAGATGTTCAAGTGCTCATTTTCTTAAGGAATCAATGATATAAAATTACTCCGGTTCTGAATCAAGAAACTAACATGTTTCTATTCGCTAGCAGTTTTCGAAAATCACTCAAATTAGGGATACTCTTTTTTTTCAATTATGGAATTTTCAGATGTTTAACTGAATACTAATTGATCCAAATTCGATTGAATTCTGATAAAGTCAGAAACAAACTGAAAGTAATTTTGATCACGGGATTGGCACATTCACTCCATAACACTTTGCCAAAAATAACGTGTTTCTCTTGGACTAATTGTTCGATTCAGATATTTGAGTGCTCATTCCTTCTAGAAATCAATGATCTAGAATTCAATTGGTCCTGATTGTGAGAATAATCATTTCTTCATTCGGCCAAAGATTTTCTGAAATCACAAAAATTCTGGATCCTCCACCATTTTGTTTCTTTCAATTATTGTATTTTCAAAAATATCCCAATGTGTACTACAATTCTTCATCTTTGGAATAACTCTGAGAAATCCAAATTCGATCGAATTTCCATGAAGCCTAAAGCAAAATGATAATATCTGAGATAAGCACATTCACTCCATAACAAATTGCAAAGAAATAGTGTATGTACTGGACTATTTGTTTGATTTCGATGTTCGAGTTCTCATCCTCTTCATAAATAAAAAGCCCAAGATGACTTATCGAAATTTCCTTCGTTGGCAATGACCGATTCAGATTAGAGAACGTCAATTTTATATTCGAATCAATGTATTTGATGAAAATCAAATTAGAGTGAAGAAAAACTCTGTTTATAGAAACCCCTGATATTCCATGAGAAAGCCAAATGTGATATTCTAACTAAGCTGCATACCCTCAATATCATCATGTTTCTGACTATGCTGCTCACATTCCTATGAAAGTTTTCGCAAATGTGACATCATTTGACCGGTGATTTTCAAAATCATCCAACCTCTAGACAGATATATAATAAGGTGAAAATACATCAACATTTCCATCCAACTCACCCCCTTGAGGAAAGAACTGAGCATAAATCATCTTGAAGGTGTCCTCTCTAACTATTCCTGTGGGGCATTCAGCTTTGAATCCCCTGTATATTCTTTTGAGCTCGACCTCTGAGAATTTCGTGGTCTTGGTTAGTGCCTCAAGGCTATCGGGTCTGTATCGCGGAGGAGTTTCTAGATCCTCCAGTTCTGAATCTATAAGAGAAAACTCGTGATCAGTTTCGCTTTGAGACACAGTACATGTATAAACAAAAATCGGAAATCAAACATCCGCTCGCACCGTTTATATCGCATTTAGAAGCAGGTTGACCTCTCATTCACAGAGGAGCGACGATTGCAAGAGCATGCATTTCGATTGCTGACTTGAATTTGTTGTTTCCACATCACAATCCTGCATAGAAGCTTCTTTAGTTCAATAATGCTAATGAGCCAAACGTCTCATTTTGTATCTTTGGATTGAATTCCATGAGTGAAAATTATGAAAGAATTACTCGATCGATTCTCCACAATTTCCAATTTTCAATTTTCAAAATATTCAAGTGTTCATTGATGAATTGAAATATCGAAAAATGTACCTATCACTGATAAAAAATTACTGCAGAGAATATAAATCTCTCTATTATTGACATTTCCTTGATTTTCATTCCTGCAGAAGAAGATATTGGTAGTTCTTGAATATATTTGGATATACCACGAATGAGATGATTTCAAGCAGGATCTCACTGAAGCAGGAATCTCAGTATATTGAACGTGAAAGAATAATCTCTAGTGGAACATCGTTTCAACAATGTTTGAAGTATCAGCTCAGAGTGGAAAATTCAAACAGCACTTCCACAGTGAACACGAAAAAAGTTCTCTTATGACTCTTGGAACATAACCTATCTGTTTTCTTCAGGTCAATTAGGAGGTCATACAATGAGTATATCAATGGTTCGATTTCAAAACTCAAAAACTCCAGATTCTCCAAATTAGAAAAATTATTCAGAATAGCAGACACCGCAGAAATTGATGGTTATTTTCAACGCATAGTGGATACCTCGGAATTAGTTCTCAAGTTGCATGACATAATTTTTTGAATCGATATGGAAACAAGAATGTGTTTTTGAAAATATTGAACTAATGATATGACCCATCTAACAAACAAGGGTCCCACAAGTCTCAAACATCTCGGACTCAACACATCGTCATGAGTAGAAGGTCCATATATAATCATCTATTTGTCCTCAATTATATCCTGATTTTGCCTCTTTATATCTCATATATTCACTGTCCATTTTCGTGGTAGGTATATGTATAATATAAGTAGATAGGGTGTAGGCTTATAAAATTGTTAGGCACCTAATTGTTCATTATCATTATTCCACTTAATATGTAAATTTAGTTAAATTTAGTTATCTCAGTATTATCTATAGGCATCACTTGATTCATTTTTGGTAGATACAAATATTTATATTATTATTATTTCTAATGGGGGACTGGAAGATCAGCCTAGCTGAAGTCCACTTATATTTGCCCAATTGATGTTAATTGAATTTCAACATGTATTTTTCTTAACATTTGATTTTTTTATGTCTCTGGGTGAATAAATACAGATACAAATACATTATTGATCTGTTGGGGTGACAAGAAATCATGAAATGGATGCTTTTGAAGAGGTATCACCACATCTCGAATATGAACAACACTCCTTATAGCAGATTTTGACTTTTCGACAAAGACTTAATCGATCGACCTGAGTAAATCAGCTATGCCGATACGGGACCATTTCACCTCGTTTCCCAATGTTAATCTCCACAAGAAATAGTAAGGTCCTTCCTGGTAATTATTAAGGCTTCCAAGGTCATCCGGCCATAACGAACAAGCTAGCAGCAAGTATAATATACAGGCGGTTCAAGTTGAATAGTATTCGGAAATTATATAGGGCGTATCATGGTAAGACTTCCACACTTTAGGTGAGCTCAGCAATTATATCAGATAGCTAACGTTTGATGTATGGTAGATCAGGTTTGACAGATAGCGTGGATATCTCAAGAAGTATGGTAACTCCTGAGAAGTTCATGTTGGGAAAAGTTAGGAAAGAGAGTCAGATGAAACTCCGTCGATCACTATATGAAGAGGCCTGTTACAGAGAGAACTAGCTAGCAGAAAACATAGCTGGGAAAGCAAGTCATAAGATGGGAGCTTGAAGAGGAGTCCCTGGTACTAGACTCGATCAAATGCCCTGGATATATCAAGTGCTACGGCTGAGTTTTCACCATATTTTTCAATAGATTGCTGCTATATATGTGGGATGTGAGACAGCAGGTCACCAGTCAATCTCTGATGACGAAAGTCATATTGCCTATCGTTGATAATACCTGAATGTTCCAAGTATTTCATGACCTCGATGTTGAGAGCTCTCTACATGATCTTTGGAATGAAAGATAGCAGTGCGATTGGTCTATAGTTGCTAGGTAGGGTCTTCTTCTTCTTTTTTGAAACTGGTTGTACACTCGCAATCTACCAGTTGGATGTGAGTAGTTGAAAAACTTGCAGTGAACAGGTGTTAGTTCGAGAGCAGATTTCTTGAGAACAATCAATGGGATTCTGTCGGAGCCACAAGCTTTGTTGCTGTTGGGACCCGATAAGATATTCCTTATAGTACGTTGGCGAACGGTGATCTCGGGCATATGACTGTCAATTGGCGTTGTGTTTGGAGGTTGTTTTCCTAATGGATCCAGAGCTGACTTTTCAGCAAATAACTGCGCAAAAATAATGGCTTTCTCCTGGGTAGTTGTGGGTAGTGTTTAATCTTTCTTGGGTAGAGGAGACGAGCTGGAAGTGAAGTTTCTTTCTACACTTTTGGCAAAGGACCAGAATAAACGAGACGCGTCAGGACATTTAACAAGTTTTGATCTTATTTGGGCATTATGAGCATCTTTTGACGATCGAATTGTCTCATTGCATAATATATGCCTCTAGCCTCGACATATTCTGCTGTAGTCTCAGGGCCTATATATTTTTGTTAACAATAGAATGCTGCCTGTGTGAAAGCGACAGCTCTAGAGCAAATCCTACTGAACCAGGCCTCATTGGAAGATGTTCTCCTTGCAGTGGAGGTAAGCGAATCACAAAATGGCCAATGCTGGCAATCGACGCGAAGAGTCGGCTTCTGATAAAAATTGCCACTACTGTGCTAGGGGTGAAAAGAAAAATACAAAGTGTGTAAGATGTGATGAAAAATACCATCTGGCATGTTCAGTGCATGTGAACGGCATAAAAATAGTCGGAATGGACATGCCAATATGTCCACCATGTGCTGATGTAGAGAACGAGTACAAGTATGATGAAAGTGTCGTGATGTCTCTCAAGGAGAATGAAAAACTATTGACTCTACTAATATCACAAATGCAAGAAAATCAAGAACTACTCCAGAAGAAAATTTGGGCAATGAAAGACCAAATCAAGCATCATGAGTCTTTGGCGTGCAAGACAGAGTCTGTGAGTGATCAACAACATCAAAAAACTTTCGCAAATGCCGCAAAAAGTATATCTGTTTTTCCAAACAAAATATCAGGACATTGGATTCACCTGAGGAAAATTGTGCTCAATCCACATGTACCACATCCATACAGCAAATGCCAACACAGTCAAAGATCCTAGTAAAAAAAAAAGATCTAGAAAGGTTATAAATTGTAATGATTATTCCGTTCCATTGGGATGTTTTTCAATTATTAAATCATTTAATTATCTGACGTCCATTCGTTATTTTATCTACTTCTGCTTATCAGCCTTATCGTATTTTTCGAGTCTTGCGCGCCCGTCCATCCCGCTAGACAGCGACACAGAAGATTGAAGAAGGAAGACTCAATAACCAATTAGGAGGAGGAATGGATTTGACAGGATCTTCCGCAAAGAACGAATGGAGAAATCGAAGTCCTTCTGATTTGAACTATCGACTTGAAAGGTTGGAGTAATAGGTTGTGGGCATTGAAGATATCTGGTAGGTCTGGATCTATCTTCATTTTCCGAATTGAATAACTTGTCATCGCAGACATTTGGTTTGTTAGAGTTGATTATAACATATTGAATCGAATATAAATTGATATATTCTTGATCGAATTCCATTTTTGTGAGGGATAATTGCATTCGAGTTGATTGAGGTTACAATTCATATCCGATGGTTCCTTAGTTAATGGTCATCGATATCAATTCATTGGCTATCTGAACTCTGCCTATATTTTATCAGCACTTGGTGACAATATTTTCGTAAAATTGTCAAATTCATAAGTCATATGAATTTCTTTTCCAGCTTAAGGTTGAGTAATACCTGGCTTTTCCTGCCTTGTCGCTTGAATTTGCTTTTCATTAACGTGTTGCTATCAACAGCTTTTTTGCTAATTTTTCCTCAATCAATAAGTTGAGAACAGCATCTGCTCTCTCAAAAATTTTTCTAGGTTGTGAGTGAAAATTGCCTCTCCTCGAATTTTGAGTTCCATCTTCATAATCCAAATATAAGAGCATTGAGACACTGTATCTGAAATTATTCATTTATATTCCATATTTTCATGACACTAGATAATGTTGATGATTCCTTAGTTGATCAGACTCCTACGACCTGAAAATACAAGTGAATGTAACAATTTGATCAAATAATAATTAATTAGAAAGTGTTCTCCTGGTTCAGGATGTTCTTTCAGTCTGGGTGTGATTTTTGTGCTTCAGGGATTCCTTCCAAGACCTCGACTTTGATGGGTGTTTGGCCTCTGTAAATTATTCAGCTGGTATATTTCCCTTTTCTACCATATTTAACGGTTCTTATACTTGGATCAAATTGATTGCCAATTGTCAAATGATGAGGGCAAGGTTACCTGCACCTGACCTACACCGAACTTGCAGCGAACAGTTGGACGGTAAAGTGAATCACTGCAGCCAGGATAGTTTCATGACTTTCAGGGTACTGGCGCTAGTAATCTTTTTGGAAATCACAAGATGATTGAGATACTTGGATTGACTATGCTATAGTTTTTCATGATACTACCATTCATACTGATACACATTTTTCACATATCCACATATTCAAATGAACTAGAGGCAAGATTGCAATATTTACACGCTGTTGCGAGAGAAAATATAATAAATTCTGAGGAAAAATGCAAAACTTAATATGACAAATCAAGTGAACGAACTAACTGGAAAGTAGCAGACAAAGTACTCTTGGAGGATGAATCATCCTATGAAGGTAGATGTAAAAAGATTATGTCTGTATTTAAAGGTCTATTCGGAATTGTCGAAATCAATTCGGACGTTAATGTCACTATTCGCAAACAGAATGAACTTGTTGAAGTATACATAGATAGGATTAGAATATACGTGAAGTAGGTTTTGACTCGTGATCATCCATTTTCGGAAATATATTGATGTAGATATGAATATTTGATCTTACAGGAATGACAGACTAAAGGACAATCAGCAGAAATGAAGAAAAGACGAGTACAAGGGCTATTGCCGGTACCTCATGATCGTAAAATTTTTTGAAATATGCCGAACCGGTTGAGATCCTCTGTATAATATATATAACGAACTCGACAGTGTTATATTAGAAAATTTCGGAAACTTTATGTCAAATAATTGTGAAGCAATGTTATTCTATATGCCGAAATCCATTCCTGATTCATGTGATCATCGATTTATTAAAATAAACAATTCTATTTTCATTCAACTTGCTACGAGCAACACTTGGTTGTTCATTTGTCCAAAACCGAATATATTACATATCAATTTCAAGAAATCAGAAATATCAGTGGATATTGTATCAATTGGAATCCAGAAAATCGAACCTGGTTCAATAGCCTATACTGAATCGATTATCCTCCACTCAGAACAAATATTCTGAAGCACCATATGTGCTCCAAAAGTTATAATTCACACTCCTATAAATAATACGATTCTGACTGAAATGAGTAAAATTCATACAACTGGAATATTGCATATTTCAAAACCTCCTATACATACAGATTCTGAACCTTGATAAATGAAGTCAGAAAGTTGAAAAATTGAGGAAGGATATATCAAAAACCCGTTTATCAGATGATAATTATTTCTTTTATTCCATCTCAGTTCATCATATCACCTCGTTTATCGTATTATGTACATTGTTTTCATTTCCTTCATTGTATTATTTCTTCAAAGATAAGTATTCAAAATTGATTTTCAGCAAGAGCAACGCTACCCCAGAGAACCAAGCTGAATCTATCGACTCGAGAGTTTCTGAAAATCGAAAGCGAAATCATGTCAAGTAAAATAGAATCGCATTTTTTTTTGGAAGTTTCTTGCTCAAGGAGGGAAAGGTTCTCTGAAATGCCATGCTGTTTCACCCGAAATATCATAATCACCTTGTATATGAATATCATAATATCATAACTCTGTTGTTCTACTTAACATTGTTTCCACTATTGCGACATTTGCTTGATTCACACTCTAATTGTAACAACGACCTGTTGCAGGAAACCATGTTGCTATTTGTTTCTATCTTCATTTTATATATTTCTGCTCTTGTCTATTGATGGCGTTATGCGACTCGAGTGTTCTTCAAATAAACTTGACGAAGCCACGCGCAGGCAGTTGCAGTTAGATATTCATACTAAATTGTACTTTTCGTCAACTCAACTGAGCATTCACTGAGGAACAGTAAAATTTCTTCAAACGTCATCATCCTTTTTCAATCACAAAACTATGGAACCCTGAGAAGCTCGATAGCAGCTTGGCGCTTGCTGAATCCGTTTATGAATTGCAACTCCACACATCTAGTCATGTGCAAGAGATTGTGGGAAGTGAAACTCAGATGCAAGTATAGCGGAAAAAAAGTATAGCGAGGAATATAAAAATGATTGATTGCTCACCCAAGGCTGACTTGACCCCAGTCCAAGCCTCTCTGACATAGGTGATAACCCTTTGGTGAAACGGTCTTCTGTATCGCCTCTCAACCTTATTCTCGTCCTGTTTCTCCTCCTTGCTGTCACAAGTACGCGCCTGATCTTCAAGGGAATGCAGCCTCTGCTCCGAAATGAGTGCTAAATGCGGTTGCCTATGGTTCAGATTATGACTCTGCACTATAGGGTACATCATGCGACATCGGACATCGTATGATATGTAGCGCTTCACAGCGCTTCAAGATTTCATCTGTACATTGGCGAATATGATTAGTCTAGCTTGGGTGGGAAGCGGATTATTGATGATGGTGAGCGTTTGGAGGGCTGAAACAATAGTAAGTGGTGTTAATGCAAGCGTGAATACACAGTGTCATCAATCTGTATCAACGTGTTTTTCAATGATAGGAATTAATGAACTCCTGCATTGTATCTTTCATGCATATGAATGGGGAGGGGATACTGTCGATAACTGAAATATTCGACAGAAAGATATTCTCAAAATGTTTGAAATATATCGTGAGAAACGCGGATGCATTCGATGGATGTGTCATATAGAGCTATCAAGATTTTGCGACGAGTATTGTTAAATTCATTAGGACTTTCGTTCATGATAGGTACCCATTATCAGTAATATATGATTCATTCCAAACCGTGATCAGTTCGTTGATATTATCGACGTGAGAATGTATCTTCAGTTCTTGGAGAATTGATTTGACAGGAAAAGATGAATTAATAGCAGCCTTCTTCGTTTGACAAAGTGTATATGGATAATATTATTGCTTTGAACAAGATAGTGTCCAGCCAGTTCCTCTAGGTGTATGGATCAAATTCTGGTCGTTTCAAATTGAAGCACTTGTTTGGTGTATACCTTCAGCAAATGTAATTATTGAAAGAAGGATTCCAAGAATAATTTAACCGATTGAGGTTCTGCAATATCCCTGGACATGGGATTGACAGCTGAAATTTTACGGAATAATCTGTTTTGTTATTCGCTGGTATAACACGACCTATCACGTTGCCCACCGGAAGTCTGATGATTTGTGAATGGAAAGGTGAACAACGGAGGGCATTCAACATTCTTGAATGCAAAAGGCTGATTCAGATCCATAATTGCTTGCTGAACTTCATACTGTGGCCTCAGGATACGATTTCAGAGCAACTATCCATCAAACTGACGAAAGCAAAGTACACGAGTGAGAAATCAAGCACGCCACTTCGAAACAATTCAAATGTTGAAACTCCACGTGATTGTGCCTACCGGCCTACCGCATGGAAATTTGAACAGGGGTGTCGTCAGAATTCCTTCAGTGTAGAACTTTGGGTGGAATAAGTGGTCTAACCTCGAATTTCATTTTGATTCCTCAACTTCTTCTATTAGTGCCATTCGATAGTACACGTCGAGCTTCCTCAGTGTTTGGAATTTTTGCACTCATTTCAATGCCACCCTGTGTAGTTCGAAAAAAACAAATGCTGAGAAAACTCATGGATATCTTCAATTCTAGTCGAGCATATGAAGAATCTTCAATCTCAGGTGTTTCGATTTGGGGTTTCATTCTGGTTGTCTATGGGTCTAGAGAGACAGACAATGGTTTGAAAGCTGTTCTATTCCTCAAGCGGTGCGGCAATGATCAGGTACTACTAACGAATGCAGATTATGGTACAGACCGCGAAGAGTAGAGACATAAAAAGGCATTTATTGAACAAGAATTAAATGATGCAATATCTCGACATAATGATAGTTACACGTGTTAGATAATGAGACATTGTGTGAAGTTACATTGAAATGAAATATATCGTCACCTTTCTACAAAAATATGTAGGCGAAGGTTCGAGCATGATTTTGGAATATTTGGACCCATAAGGCTCCTAGCAATTCACTTTGATGTGGCCTTCCCCTTGCCTCGCTTGGTCAGGAGTTCGGTGTGAGTGAAACCCAGATCAATTAATCATAAAAAAATATAGTTTCCATATCTGATGCTTAGTTTTTGTATTCACCTTTTTCTATTCAATTCCTCTCAGTCGAGAAAGACATTGAATATCCTGTATGGTATACGACCCTCAATGCACTGCGAGCATTGCTGGTTCCCTAAGCACCAGGTGAGATTATCAACGGAAAGTTCCCATACTCAGGCTTCTCAAACCAATTTCTATATGACAATATTGAGTAGTGAAAATGTTGAGGTTTTGTGACACAATTCCGAATTGGAGGTGTTGATTGTACTTCGTTGACAACACGCAAAACCTGTTCTGCTACATCTCGTCCTCCCCCGAGTTGAGTAACGGTCACTAATCAACCAAATAAGTTACCGCCCCACTCAACTGGAAACTCTTTGTCATAATCATTACAACTCATAATATGATGATAGAACCTATTTTACCCCGATAACCTAGAAAGGCGTGAGATACCGCTTCAGATGGGAGGCGCTAAACATCACACGTTCGCCAGACCCATTCAAATTATTGAGGAGGTGAGTGTTCTCCGCGACTTGCTTCATCTCCCGACTGGGCCCTTCGAACAGTAGCAGCAGTTTCTCGTATCTGCCTGATGGCAGAGAAAACCATATTGGCTTTGAGCAGGACCAAGTCGTCCTGTTGAGAAGGATGATCGGGATGAGACAGTGCCCGCCGTTCGGCTTCTGACTTCAGAGTGACGTCAGCCGGCACTAATTTTTTTGCGTGGGTATACTGCGCTACCTGGTGCGGGTGAGATACCGTGGCTGGAACCAGACTGAGTCTTTCTAGACCGAATTTGATTTCATCTGGAGATGATATGGTAGATTTGTGTACTTCTGCGTTCGAAAATTAGACGAATAGAAAAATGTTGACAGCCCATTTGCTGTGTTCTTTATGAAAAGAGTTTTCTCGAAGATGGCAGAGAGAAATGAGAACTAGGCGTATTCCCAGGTCGGACAAGTTTTTTTTCCACAGTTTGGGGGTGGAATATGTGACGTTATCGTGGAGAATACGTAACAGTTGACCATGTAAGAAGAAGTAGGTGTCAACCAGCCAATTCAACAAAGCCCTCGATGTGGCTTTCTTGAGCGGGTACAAGGTGACATGTTGAGTGGAGAGGTTCAAAATGACCAGGAGAACAAAGTGAATTTATTCGAAATAAGATAGATTTTCTAGCTCTTAATGCACTGGAAAGATGCCAACATCTCTTCTCCATTAGAACTTGACCTCCTTTTCCGGTCCAGTAACAGCCTAATCGCACAAGCGACTACCTGTTTCTTTTCTTGCACCATCTGGAACAGTTGGTCCGCTATCAAAAGTGTCCTTTCACTTTCAGGAGGCGTTTCCTTGAAACAGCTGCGTCAACGGCTCAGGAAGCTCAGCAAACATAGGCAGGACGGACCTGTCAAAATTACATAGACTGAGAAATTCCTAGACTCCCTTGATATGTTTTCGGCGTTGCTGATCTACAATGGCCAAGACACGTTCGGGATCTAGACTCATTCCTACTACACTTACCATATACTCTTTGAAGTGCATCTCTCTCCGGAAGAACCAAAGTTCGACGGTGAGCCCTGCTGCATGTAGTCTATCGAACACTTTTTCTGGGTGGCCTAGATGTTCTTCGATGTTCAAAGACATTACCAGAAGATCGTCGATATAGGTGAGTGAAAAACCAGAGAATTAATCTCTAAAAATGGTGTCAATCACCTTAGTAAATAAACTCACCGCAGTTGAAATCCGGAAGGAAAGAGAACAGAACTGGCATGTCTTTGTACCTACGGTACACTTTGTATATTTTTGGCCCTTCCTTCGAATAGGTAGTAGACAGTAGGAGTGATAAAAATCTATCTTGAATGAATACATCTGACAACTCAAGGAACTCACAATATCATTTATCCGCAGAGGTTATTCATGTTCATGTCGAATCACCTCATTTGAATGTCTTGCATCAAGGCATATCTTAACGCTCCCATCTCACCTCAGGCTCGTCATTAATAGAGATATATAATTATGGAATAGAAGATTTCTCAATCATCGTACCTCCATTCGTGGAATTCTTTTGTTTTCGCGCCACGGAAGTAGGGTGAGGTTCCATGAAGGATTCGTAATAATTTTTTATGACAATGTTTATATGGAGGGGTACGCCCCTGAGAATCTGCGAACAGTTTTTTATATTTCTCATTCCTGGTGAAGGATATATGAACAAAATACCCGAGAAATCGGTCCTACCAGTTTGAGTAGGCAACTCGGAAAATTCAATATCTAAATCATCATGAAGTTTTCTAGAGTAAGATTTATTAACAACGAGCAGAATATGAGTTGATGCAACTGATTCATATTCCCATATTCCTTCTCATTTCATTCGAAATCCTTCTCAATCTTCTTTCTTGTGGCTTGATGATTATTTCATGATACCGCAAGCAATTCACCCCTATAATAATTGAGTAGAAGAGACTGGAAATAATTGGGAATTCCTAGGTAAACTCTTTGCCGCCCTCAAGAAATTTTATACACCATGCAAATTTTAGTATTGAACGCCCCTACTACTTCCACCCCTAGTTCGTAATGATTTCATAATCATTCCATTTATCATTATGATTTTCTCATAATAATTTCGAATCCTAAACATCTACATACAGTTTTCGAATCATAACCTGTAGTTGAAATTTAAAGTTATATCTATCAAAGTTATCCGAATTCAAATCTGCAAAAAATATCTGAATGTCTTTGAAATCAATTTGAATACCATTTGTGCCATCTATCGAATGGTAGCGCAACTTCAACGATGAAACAGCTTACTTAAATCTGCTAAAATAAAATTCACTCAGACAAAATCAGACTGTTCGTCGATAATATCGATATGAAGAGTGCGCTGCGAATCGAAAAAGGAGAAGGTTAACGAAGAACCCAAAAATCCTTCTTCTCGTCAGAACCACAAAAGAGAACTAATTGATTATTGCAATTATTAATAACTCTCCAATTGATATATTTTACAGAATATGAATATCATAACATAATATATATTTAGGTTTGATTGACGCTCATTTTATGAGGCTTTTCAACAATCGTTATCTTTCTGAATAAAGGCTATCATCCATTGAATATTTTATATCTATAAATGATTATTCAGAATGTTCGATTCCTACACCACTGATGTTGATGATATTTTCATAATTTCATGTTATTTTATCTACAGCTCAACCAAACATTTTCTTTCTCGTTTTTCGTACTTTGGTTTTA